TTTTTTAAATAAGTGGCCGGCTGGCCTGTTTAAGCCCGCTCCCTGACTGGCCTAGAAAAACAGGTCCAACCCGCCCCTTTTTGTGGGGCGGGGTGGGCTGGCCCGCCGGCCCAGCCCCGCTTCGATAGCTCTAGTCAAAAGGTATTCAACCGGCGATCGAGCTCGAGATCTAGCACAGTTTCCAGCCGGTTGGAGGTCTTTTACGTATCAATGACAAAGAACAATCTTCTTAGGAAGACAAAAATATAAACTATCATATTCAATTATTCTTGTAAAAAATTTCAATTTAGTTTTTACTGTGCATTGTGCATATTTCTCAATCTTCTCCAAACAAAAAAATTCAAATAAACAAAATTATCTCATATAATGAAAGTTATACTTAGAAAATTGTCATGCAATCTTTTTCACCATGACATTTAAATATTATTACTTTGAAAATTGTATTTCAACTTTCAATATATTTGACATAATTTATTACATTATGTAATGTACTTCTTTTGTTTGATTAATGAAAAATCATAATGCAAAAAAAAAATTGAATAGATCATAAATATATAAAAGAAAAAATATAATTCAAACTCACATTAAAATATAAATTATGTATTGCGTGGGCACGTTACTAGTTAAATAAAAAGGACATAAACAAAGGTATGATAACAAATAGCATAAGAATGTATTTTTTTTCTTCACAAAAGAAATTATATAAAAGATCAATCCGCCTCAAGTTAGGATACGCATCAATTTTGTGGTTAATAGAATTTGTAGACCCACTAATGAAATAACATCCAATGAAAACATAGATTCCCCATTCACGTCCTAATTGCGTTTATACCTTCGCTAATGGTACGATTCTCTGTTCATTTTGTTTTCGCTTAAGAGAGCCACAAGTTTCATTATAAATGTCACATCTGGTGCACTAGGAGACGCTTACATTCGAGCTCGTTTAAAGCCCCTTTAGTTATGGAGGTTCGTTAACCAGGGGCGGAGGCAGTCACAAGTCTACCTGGGCTGTAGCCCGGGTGCCCCAGCCCACACGCGACCACCAATTAAATAGAAATATAGTATACAGTTTTCTTTCTTTCGTTAGAAAAACAAAATTTATTTCGGTGGCATATGAAAAACTAGAATGTTTTACTATAATTCTTTTTTCAAGTTTCCGTTTACTGGGTTATGTATTTGATAAAAAACTGAATTTGCAATTAGAGTTTGATAAACCCCCACCTTAGTTATCCTCGTTTGTTAAAATAATGTAAATTTCAAATAACTAAATTTGTCAAAAATCGTGTTTGAACTGTTAATATTGATAAACGAGCCGAGTTTGAGCACGTGTAGTAACTAAGCCAAACTTGACTCTGTTGCCCTAAATTGGACCAAACAAATAATTACACATCAGGTCTTGTGTGTTATACTACCTAATATATTTTATTAATAAAAAAAAATATATTTTTCATGAGAAAGTATGACTAATACCAAGGCACCAGCCAATTAAGTATCACTCTTAGTAATAACAATAACAGTGATGGTGGTGGTCATGAAGGTATGTGGGCCGACGATGAAAGGGCAACCGCTCTAATAATATTTTCTGTTGATTGAGAATGAAAGATGTGATGAAAGATTTTTATTTGATCATTGCGATAAATGTATGGCCATGAATTTGGGCGTACCATGAAATTGTAGGGAAAATTTTAGCCATAGACAGCGAATTATTTTTTATTGCAAGAATACCAACTGAGACTAATTTAATTTCAAACATACCGAATGTATTCAGTTACCTCAACAAACAAGGCTCATTCCTTAAATGACGGAATTTATGAAGCAGCGGTTATTTTGTGGAAAAAAAATGTAAAAATAATGGAAGTGTATATCCTAATATATAGGATATTCTTTAATTCAAATTTAAATCACATGTAGTTTGAAATTTAAAGATTATTATCTTGTGGTGCAGCATATATCCAGCTACTGTATCCATTAAAAAAAGTGGGTTCATTTTTTTATTTAATCTTTTTTGTTTTATATTTAATAATTTATTAAATGAGTTTTTCAGTTTTTTAATGGTATATATACAGTTTTTTTAATGGTATATGTAGTGCTGTTAAATTAAACGAGCCTGGCTCGGCTCGGCTCGAGCTCGGCTCGTTAAGGCTCGGTTCGGCTCGAGCTCGAAGCCTTAACGAGCCGAGCTCGAGCTCATTTAAAGCTCGTTTGGTTAACGAGCCGAGCTCGGCTCGGCTCGATAAGGCTCGTTAAGGCTCGAAAAGTGAAATTTATATAATTTTTTATAGTTCGGCTCGTTAAAACTCGAGATCGGCTCGTTAAGGCTCGAGCTCGAGGCCTTAACGAGCCGAGCTCGAGCTCGATTTTTTGCTCGTTTACTTAACGAGCCGAGCTCGGCTCGGCTCGTTAAGAGCTCGAGCTCGAGCTCAAACACCTTAAGCTCGAGCTCGGATCGGCTCGATTACAGCCCTAGGTATATGTATAGTTTATTTTAATCGTTTTTATTTTTAAACATTGCTCTTTTGAGAATATAGCGAAAATATACTAACTATAAACCCTGAATAACCATACAAATAAAACGCTCCACCCTTAATTGTCGTGCATATTCCATTACAAATACCAAAAAAAAGAAAGAAAAAAAAACATGTGTTGTAATTCACGCAGGTCCAGGGTGGGTATATGTTGCGTTTATGTTAGTATATATTCAGTATATGCTTAATATATATACATA